TAGGCATTAAATAAAAGGTTTCTGGGGAAAAATAAAGCTATGACAGGAGAGCAGGCCATGTACCAAATGAGCCAGGTGCCTTGGCTTTTCCAAAGGGAAGTTTATGTCATGTTTTCAAAGCAAAAATGGTATAGCTGCCATTCTAAATCCTTGTATTAAGGTCTTTAGGAAGGAATCAATCATACCTCAGAGAATGTCACATTGTTTTGTCCAAGTAAAATTTTGAAGAGCATCTATGCTTTTCAAAAATAAGGAAACTAAGGTCCAGCGATTTGAAGTGAGTTAAACACAAGATAGTAACAACTAAGGAAGGACAGGGGCTCTGTTCTGCTGAATTTCAGTGTGGGGAGCTTTCCCTTTATTTTGCTGCCATCTTGCATCAGCGACCAGGATATCTCTAACAGTGATCAATAAAACTAACAGGGCTACAGACTTAGTAGGCAAATATGGTATGTCTTGGACTAAAGATATTCAATCACCATCATTATAATAAAACAATGACTGAAACCTTTCTTTGTGTTGGCCACTGATGAAATTCCATAACACGTACAAGGGACATAGAGTGGCTATAATACATGTCTTATCATTATTATTTCTGCTGTCAATGTATTATTATCACATTAATACACAAATGAACAGCATTTAATTGTGTGTAACCCTATGAATCTCAAAATCTAGTTGGGGAGATCAAACATCTGTACATTCCTTTATAACACATGCTAGAGTGCTGAAATTACAAGGATTTCTTTAAGCGCTGGATTCATGTGTCACTAAATGAGAGGGATATTTTCTCTACTAAACTGTTGTTCCTTCTTTCTCCCTTGGTTTGTGAAACTCAGTATCCTGAGAATGGCAGTTGGAGTGCTTTATGACATGAATTTATTCATTTTACAGATTTCTTTCATGCTTAAATTTCCCATTAAAATAGACATCCTGCACCCAAGAAGAGAGATGATTTTATTGAATAAGCAATAACAATATTGCTTTATGTCTTTGCATTTAGTGAGACCCTGTGACAATCAGATGCCTTTTGGAGTCACTAATGGTCAAGTTTAAGAGAATTGAAAAAATTTTCAGAAAAATCTTCTTCCATTTATAAATGAACTTGAAATGGCCACCCATGAAAATGTTTATTTCATTGCATATTTTGGGCATTGAAATATGGGTTTCATGCCTAAAGCCAGTTTTTAGAGTGCAGCCTCCTTGAGGAAATGACTATGCTATTGGCAGGTGGCAGGCAGGGAAGATATTATTAGGTTTGGCCTAAAGCATCCTCCACATGTTTCAGGTTTGGCTTTAAAGGTTTCTCTCTACAAGGTGAACTGTAACCTAACTTGATGTGCAAACAAGCTGTAACTTACTGTGTAACGAGTAGCTGAGTCATAGCCAATCTCAAGTGGACAACTGTTCAAATCACGTTCAAATAAGGCAGGTGCCAGCTGTAACCAATAGGACTGTCTCCGTACCTTGCTTCTAGTTTCTGTGCATCTCTTTTCTCATCTCTAGCTATAAATATAACCTGTCCATATGGTTGAGTGGAGCATTCTGAATTATTTTCAGTTTAGACTGCTGTCCAATTCTAGAAGTGAAAATAAGGCCAATTAACATCTATAAAACTAGATTTGTTGTGGTTTTGTTTTTTTAACAGCACCATGCAAAGCACTTCGTGCATATATTAAAGTCTCATGGCAAGCTAGACAGCAAGTGGTAGCATTTCAATTTTGTAAGTGAGAAAACTGAACCCCAGAATTGATAAGAAATTTATCTTTGGTCATTCACTTGGGAATTAAAGGCCCAGGTCTCTGTGATATTAATTAATGCCTGTGTTCCATCCATCCTATTAAGCACTCAAATCCTTACTTGAGAACACAGAACATATTAAGCTTTCATTACATCTGTGTGGAATAAAGATTTTGCATGGCTTATTTAAAAGGTATCAGCCTAACTCAAGTGTCTGAGCTGTATCTCTGCTGGTAACTGTGGCCTTAGGCTGGTGACTTTGACTCCTAAGTCTGCGCTTATGGACTGTGTCTAACACCACCTGCTCCTGTGCATTAAGTTCTTTGGGGATAACATGTGAAATGGATGTGAAACACCTTTGATTCAATGCTTCCGTTGCTTTGAAGGCAGTAAAAACTCATGATAGCATAAGATTACCAGGCACTGCTTGTGTGGAGAGAAGACTGATTATCAGTCTTCTAAATATACTTATGCCCAGGACAATCTGACCATGCCTGTGCATGTCTCCTGCCCTCAGGTGGTGTGTGCAGAGGCTCTTTGATCAAGACAGTAGATATCTCTACACCAGGGCATCTTCTTCCTGACTTACATATGGCACATGGACAAAGATTTCCAGTAAGGTGATGATACAGATACTCTTCAATCTAGATATATTTATGTTGCCAGATTATGGCACCACATGCTGTTTTAGGCATTGAAAATGGAATACTGAAGGAAACAACAGAATCTCTGTTTATGTGAACTTAGAGAAGAAATATTTTTAAAAATGATTTAATATATTGACAAGAGTACTCTGATGAAAACAAAACATAAAAATTTAACTTATTCCCTTTCTGAGTTTCATTACAAGTAAATTGAAATTTATATTAAATGTATAGGATTCTTCTGAGGAAATGACAAACAGTGCTAAGCAGTGGGTGATTAATGCATATTTATCCTTTTACATTTTCTCTTTGCCATGATTTTCCTTCTTGCCCCCAATTTCATATTTTGGGTGAAAAGAAGTTAACATAAAACTTGGAAGAGCAACATCCTCAGAAGTGCAGTTTATAGTTTGATAAAGATGTTGGGCAAGGAAAAATGTGGTTGCACTGCTTGACTTGTTTGAGGGAGAGAGTGTTATGTTGGTTGCCTACACATGAGAGTTAAGCACAGGCTTTGGTATCAGCTGGCATAATTGTCTTCCTGTCCTCCCCAGCTATCATGAAAGACCCACCTGCATATCATAATTGCCAGTCCCAATCAAGTCCTACAACTACATACATAAAAGTCACTTTTATCAATTACAATAATAATAGTGGTCATCATCATTTATTAACTGAGTATATATTATGAGCTAGGTCCTGAGCTTTACATAAACTATGTGATTAAATTATCGAAACAAGATGTGAGAGTTGTGTGGAGTTCTCCCTTTTGTTTTTAAAATTCTTTAAAAAAATTTAAGACATTTTTTTTTAGAGCAGTTCTCACTTATAGCAAAATTCAGAGGAGAGTAACTCTGAAATACCCACAAATACGCCTGTTTTAACACATACACGTCTTCTCCATTGTCAACAACTGTTCAGAGTAGTACATTTGTTTTCAATAGATGGGCCTACACTGACACATAATTATCTAAAGTCCTTAATTTACATTAGGGTTCACTCTTCGTGCTGTATATTCTGTGAATTTGGACACATGTATAATAACATGCATACAGACTTTATAGAATCATATACAATATTTTCACTCTGTAAAATACTCTGTGCTCTTCCAGTTTATCCCTCTTTCTCCCTTGATCCCTGGAAACTACTAATCTTTTAATATCTCCACGTTTTTTCTTCTCTCTTTGTAAACTTGAGAGTTTAAGATAAGTTATCTATCAAAGATGAGTTAAAGGCACTATGTGAAACTGTCTAAGAGCACAGTGATTTTGCTTCAATGTATCACCTTAGCCAAGTTGTCAGCTGGATGCTAACCTTGATATTTGCTCTCAAGATAGTTTTCCGTCGTTAACATGTAGCATCCCCTGGCTTTGTCAAGTTTCTACCCCAGCTCTGTCTCAATATCTACATGTCTTCCTCATCCCAGGTGTTGGCAGGTTTAAGAAAGTTTAAAGTTAACTCTAACCTTGAAGCAAACTCTAATGTCTACAGTGACCTGGCAGATAGAATTTAGGCAAATGTACAAGACTAGGCAGTGGTGGGGACTGTGACAAACAAATTATATACATCATTTAAATGGATTAGCTGACTACTCAGCTCCAACATTTTTGTTGCTTTATGAAATAGCGATTGTCACCAGTGAAGCTTAAATTTGAGTTTACCTATTTAATGTTTTTATTTTAAGACATGATGGAATCCAAACAAAATATATCTGCTCACAGGCTTCAAGGTTTTGAGCTCTGAATTTGAGAATTTGACTCTAAAAATATTTCAAAGGGGGTGGAATGAAGGTAAGGTATAATCTAGTTCAAACCTTTCATATGGCAAGTGTTACTTTGTGTTTATAACATACAATAGGAAGGTAAATAATTTATTCATGATTCCATTGCTGGTCAGTGGTACAGTTAGCACTCCAATCAAATCTCACAGCTCTCCTGTAACTCTTTTTCCATTCTTTTTGCAAGTGAGCTTATATTTTTTATTAATATAAAGAGAACTGATTTCAGAGATACAGTTCTAAGAAGATAACCATACTTTCCTCTACCCTTCTTCCACTAACTCCTCTCCCTGCCTCCCCTCTTTTAATTTTTACAAAGTCATAATTTAAATATGCACTATAATCACAGTAGTAATTCACCACTACACATTATATTCAACAAGTAAAAGATGGGAAGACCACAATTCCACAGGAGTATAAATAAAGGGCTAAAAATAACAATCATATTCCCAAGATGTCTATTTCTTAACTTTCTTTGTATTCTGTATTAACTGCCACATATCAAAGAAAACATGTGATAGTTGTCTTTTTGAGACTGGCTTATTTCATTCACTAAGCATAATGGTTTTCAAACTCTTTGGCATTCTCAGCCACAGTTCCTATAGGTACAACAGACTAACCAGAAACAGCTTTGCCTGTTACTGATTGGATTTGCAGGTTAAAGAAGGCAAGATAAGAAAAGTATTGGATTTAGAGGGATTATGTGATTGATTCAACTTAGTATTTCCTAAGCTACTGTTAACTGAAATTATCCTCATAATATATTCTTTCCTTCCCAGGGACTCAGGCTTTGAGGACTGTCGCCATTTCTATACACACTGAATTTTTTTTTTCTATAGGGTCAGCCTTGGAAAGGAGTACATCACTTCTCCCACATTTCTTCACCCAGAACTTGTCATAAGGTCTGTACCTTGAGGTAAGGAGTTGGGAAAATAAATTTCTTATGTACTCAGGAATATAATATAAAGGATTGTCAAACATTTAGCATTATGTCTACAAAGGAAAAATTAATAACAAAGAAAGTAAAGTAAGTATTATTCTGCATTGAATCTCCACGATTGAATTGTGAGGATCAGGTTCTGTGGCTGGGAACAGAACTGCTATTGTAAACCATGCTCAGCAGCATGGTTTAACTGCAAGAGGCATTGGATGAGGATGTAGGATGCTTCTTATCTGCCAGCTTCCAGGAAGGCATTCATGGAGTACCTGGCCCGAGATTGCATGTGATCCTCTAAGGTGATTCTCAGTGGATATATTCTCAGATTTCGTAGGTCAAAAAATCTGAGGCCCCTTCTGACACTGCACCAATCTCTTAGGGAGTGGGGTGGAGAACAGTAGGCCACTGTATAGAACAGAAGTCTCTACCTCGCTGACATTCTTTTGCTCTTTTGTGCCATGGGAGACTTGAGGTTTGTTTTGTCATCACAGATATATTTCCCTACTAATTTTAGAAAATGAATACTGCTGTTTCTTATGAGGCTGATAGAGAAAAATTAGTTAAGAAATGAGGGAAATAAATTGTCTTATAAATAAATACAAGGACTGTAACTAGAGGGAAAATATACATACAGTGGTCTTTAATTAAGAATTAAAAAACTAGGCAGCCTTATACAAAAATATCATATTTACAAACAATATGCAGATGCAGTCTCAAGGCTCTAGACATCCTAGAATTGCTTCCTGCAAAGGTGAAACATCTGTAATTTGGCTCCTCCTCAGGCATAGTAAACTGAAATTACTGTGGCTCACTCTTATGTCAGAGCATTTGGCCCATTAGGGACTTTTCTTCTTGTGTCTTTTTTTAATATTTGTTTATTTATTTGAAAGAGTTACACATAGAGAGAAGGATAGGCACACGTAGAGAGAGAGAGAGAATGAGAGAGAGAGAGAGAGAGAGAGAGAGAGAGAGGTCTTTTATCCACTGGTTCACATCGCAATTGGCGGCAACAGGCAGAGCTATGCTGATCAGAAGCCAGGAGCCAGGAGCTTCTATGGATGCAGGGGCCCAATGGCTTGGGCCATCTTCTACTGCTTTCCCAGGCCACAGAAGAGAGATGGATTGGACATGGAGCAACTGGGTCTTGAAACTGGAACCCATACAGGACGCCAGCACTGTAGATGGTGACTTTACCTGCTATGCCACAGCACTGGCCCCTCTCCTCATGTCTTTGTTTCTAGGTACCCAGACTATGAGTCCCCCAGTAGTAATCACTATCTAAAGGCTGACAATTCTAGAATTCAGATCAAACATCTTAGATCATCTGTTAGTCTGCTAGGACTACTGTAACAATGACCAGAGTTTGTGTGAATTTCTTAAACAACAGAAATTCATTTTCTCAAAGTTTTGAAGTCTAAGGGCCAGGTGTTGACAGGCTGTCTTCTTCTGAGAAAGTCCTTGTTAGGGTTAGGGTTAGGGTTAGGGTTAGGGTTAGGGTTAGGGTTAGGGTTAGGTTGTGCTTGCCTAATGAGATTGATGGCCCTCTTGTCCTGGTCTTCCCTCTGAGGCTGTGTGTGTCTAAATTTCCTCTTCTTTTAAGGACATATTAGAGTCATATTCGATTAGAGTCTGCCTTAATACCCTCATTTTGACCCACCTACCTCTTTAAATACCTTCTCCCATAGTGAAGACATTCTGAGGTAATAGAGGTGAGAACTTTAGCATGCAAATGTTGGAGGGATCTCTTTCAGCCTGTAATAGAACTCCATTTTCTATTCCATGGACAATATCCTATGAAATATTACTAAACATTCTGGAAGAAGAAAAGTCAAAAGGTCAAATAAAAACTGCGCATATGTCATTATTATTCTCTTGCAGCTTCATCTATTCAATGGCTTGAAGATACTCCTTTGGATTCTTCATTTATCCAATCCATTCTGTTTTGTCATAAGTGGGGTTGAATTTGGTTTACTGTTGCTTGTTCCTGGAAGATGAGTTTATACACTATATGTGTAGAGACCCCCTACTCCTACATACTCTCCTCTCCCATCAACAAATACATCTTCTGTCCTCTTCTGAACTTAAGCAATAATGTGTTATCTCCTGGTTTTACCTTGGGTATCTAGTGCTACTCTCCTTCTTAAAGGTCCCTCTCATTCTACTCTTTTTAGTTTATCTTCCGAGAACCCCCTTCCTACTTGCTTGAAACAAGATGGAGGCTAGTTTAGAAAATTCTCCCCTACTAAATTCACTGGGGGATATTTTTTTTTTTTTGACAGGCAGAGTGGACAGTGAGAGAGAGAGACAGAGAGAAAGGTCTTCCTTTGCCGTTGGTTCACCCTCCAATGGCCGCTGCGGCCAGCGTGCTGCGGCCGGCGCACCGCGCTGATCCGATGGCAGGAGCCAGGAGCCAGGTGCTTTTCCTGGTCTCCCATGGGGTGCAGGGCCCAAGCACCTGGGCCATCCTCCACTGCCCTCCCTGGCCACAGCAGAGAGCTGGCCTGGAAGAGGGGCAACCGGGACAGAATCCGGTGCCCCAACCGGGACTAGAACCTGGTGTGCCGGCGCCGCTAGGCGGAGGATTAGCCTAGTGAGCTGTGGCGCCGGCCTCACTGGGGGAGATTTTGAGAAAGGAAGCTTGAGGCCCAAGTGCTGTTGGGAAGGTGAATATACCATATTGATATTTGCATGCGCAAACACTGTTCTGTTGCAACATTTCATTCAAAATTAACCTTTTATTGGAAGCATTCTAACTAACCACCTCCAGTAATTAATCATGCTGTATCATGAAACTACCACATAGTAGTGATAATATTTGGAACAAAGTAAACTGATGGTCGAATAGGCAACCATTCACAACACCATCTAGCCTCTCTTCAATGCTGTGTTCTCCCCTCATCCTCTAAAATGCCATATAGCCTCTGACAAATGGTCTTTCCATAAGCATCAAGGTAGAATCATTAGATGCCAGTATATCAATATGAGAGCTCATTCTAGTCATCTATCTTCCATATATTCTGCAGGTATCTTAAAACACCTAGCAATGACAGCATATTGTCAAAAATTCTAAATATATTCATCTTAGATCTTATCCAATGTCTTCTTTCCATACATGCATTAACTGAGAGCACTTTCTTGTACTCCTTACCTTGAATCCAGGTTGACAGCCAAAAATTACCCTATGATGCTGATTGGCTTGGACACAAAACGACGTTTCTAATTCAAATCATCAGACCATAACTTAGAATGGTCAGGAACTCACAATGTGACATCTCCTTTTTAAGCAAAGGCATCTTTTGGATGTCAACCAGTAGGTAAAGAACTAAGAAAAATTAATTGTGCTAAGTTCAAGGCTTGAAGATATAGTTAACTTTAGTTTCACCAACACTTCATTATCTGTTAAGGCAACTGACAGGAGCCAGAGATCATAAGAGGAGATAAGTATAATCTGTTAAATAAAGACTCAAATAGTTCTCAGGATCCAGCCAAAAAGACCATGAAGCCTTGGGAAACAGGGGTTTTACTTATAGGTAGAACTGAGAAATACCTATACTAAGTGATTGGGGAACCATAAAAAAGTGCCAATTCCCAGTATTTTCCAAGAATCCCACCACAGTGTCTAAAATTCCACCACTTGTTCATCACTTGGTTGGATGGCAAAGTTCTCTCTTCCTTTTTTATGCTTTCTTCCCTTGCCTTCCTTTCCCCTCCCTTCCACTTCCCCTCATTCCCTCCCTCCCTTTCTTCCTGCCTTTCAGCCTTCTGGCTTCCCGCCTTCCTTCTCTCCCTCCCTTTTCTCTGTCTTCTTCCTTTTTCTTCCCTTCTTTCCTGAAATGGAAACATCTCTGGGACACACAACACCACTTTAGAAGTTAACCTATTTGCTTTGCATTGCATTCTGTTTCCCAAAACTCACATTTGAAGCCTTCACTCACCATGTTACTGAATTCAGAGATAGGTCTTTTAGGGAGACAAATAAAGTTACATGAAATTATAAGGGGGCACTGCGGCTCAATAGGCTAATCCTCCACCTGCGGTGCTGGCACACCGGGTTCTAGTACTGGTCGGGGCACTGGATTCTGTCCTGGTTGCCCCTCTTTCAGGCCAGCTCTATGCTGTGGCCTGAGAGTGCAGTGGAGGATGGCCCAAGTCCTTGGGCCCTGTACCCCCACGGGAGACCAGGAGAAGCACTTGGCTCCTGCCTTCGGATTAGCGCAGTGCGCTAGCTGCAGCGCGCTGGCCACGGCGGCCATTGGAGGGTGAACCAATGGAAAAGGAAGACCTTTCTCTCTGTCTCTCTCTCTCACTGTCTACTCTGCCTGTCAAAAAAAAAAAAAAAAAAAAAAGAAAGAAAGAAATTATAAGGGTGGGCTCTAACCTAATAGGACCCATGCTCTTACGAGAAGATGAGACACCAGAAATTCTCTCTCTGCATGTGCACAGAGGAAGAGCCATATGAGGACTCACTGAGAAGGTAGATGTCTACAAGACTAAATGAGAGGTTTCACTAGAAACCAACCCTGGCAGCATCTGGATCTTGGGCTTTCAGCATCAAGAACATTGAGAAAATAAATGTCTGCAGTTTAATCACTTAGTCTTGGTATTTTTTTTTTTTTTTATTTTTGACAGGCAGAGTGGACAGTGAGAGAGAGAGACAGAGAGAGAAAGGTCTTCCTTTGCCGTTGGTTCACCCTCCAATGGCCGCCGCTGCAGCCGGCGCACCGCGCTGATCCGATGGCAGGAGCCAGGATCCAGGTGCTTTTCCTGGTCTCCCATGGGGTGCAGGGCCCAAGCACCTGGGCCATCCTCCACTGCACTCCTTGGCCATAGCAGAGAGCTGGCCTGGAAGAGGGGCAACCGGGACAGAATCCGGTGCCCCGACCGGGACTAGAACCCGGTGTGCCGGCGCCGCAAGGTGGAGGATTAGCCTATTGAGCCACGGCGCTGGCCCTAGTCTTGGTATTCTGTCATGATAGCTT